AATTATTCAATTATGGAGAAGGAAAAGGTGATTTAAAGTAACTAATGTGACAGAATATAAATATTATTTATGGAATATTCTGTATTTTAATTTAGGTTATCCAGTTGAACTTACATGTTATCCATACCTCCTATGAGTTGAACTATCATTTACTGCCTGCAGATTGGGATGGTCAAGTACAATTCCCAGCATCTTACCCCCACATAGAGGCCTTCATCATTTTCCTTAAATGCCTTTGCTCCTGGGTTATCTCGTCAAGGCACCCATCTACCTCTGAACTTAATAAATATGTGAAGGCTTCATGAACATAAAACTATTTTCTCTCTTTGATCAAACTGTCCAAACAATAAGTTTTCCCCTTATCCTTCCGCTGCTTCAGCAGCTTTGGAAATATAAATATACATATATATTTCTACATATATACACATGTATATATACATATATATGTATATGTAAATTATATATATATATATAATATATATATATATATATTATATATATATATATATATAATTTGTGGAACATTAGACACAGCCATAGTCATCTTTGTCCATATGCAGCCATCACACATATGATCATCTATCCCCACAGTGCTTTGTAAGCCATATTTTCCTCATTGTTTAACTGTTTTGGGCAGAGAATCTTGTAAAACATTACTAAGTGATGGTACTCTTTACTTGTATCACAAATTATTCCATTGTGAAGAGAAAATACAGTGACACACCACTTCAGTGCTGAGTACAGCCACCCTTCTTATTGGCAGAGACTTGCCTTTCCCTTCCTTTCTCATTATTCCCTCAGCTCCCTATTTATCCCTATCCACTGAGTCCACATTTTAATTCTGCTTCAAGCTCTGCTTCGTTGCCTTTCTTTGGCATGTTCACTTTATTACCATTTATATCATCCCTACTTTAGCAACTTGCCCCCAATACATTCCATACTTAGCATTTTCTCTTTTCTTTCTTAAAAAAATTCCCTTGTCCTAGGTTGCATATTCTCCAGGCCACATTCCATGCTACTTTAGAAAAATTTGCATATGCTAATATGTTAATATGTACGAATAACATACCTTATTACCACAAAGTGACAAATTAACATTTAGGATTATAAGTACCCAAAGGGGAACTACTAATGCTGGGAAATTACAGGTAAGTTTGAAGTAAGACAATATTTTTGGATAAGTGGCTGCATCTTTTAAATGTTCTTCATATCCCTTAAGTGTTTGCTGATGCATTGAAAGCAACATACAATACTCCACCCAGGGCTGATGGTCTGTTTGTCACACAGACATGTCACCAATACATTCTCTGCTCCTCTGGTCTCTTTTCCCTTTCCAGGCCTTAGTCACAGGAGTTTGCAACATCATGGTATTTGGACAAGTTAGAGAGACCAGAATCAAGTAATGGTAACAGCGTTCTTTAGTGAAGGCTTCTTCTCAGGAACAGAACTGGGAGAAGCAGATGGTGCATGTCACATTGGATCAGCTGTGATGGATGGACAAAATGGAGGAGTCTCAGTGGGCCCTGCGTTGTCCACCCTGGGCTTTGGGCAGTGACGCAAATCTGACTTAGGCTGCTCTTGTGAATAGCAACTACTGAATGCTGCTATTGTTTTTATGAAAAGAGCCTTGTGGATTGTTTCTGATCTGCATATTAACAAAGAGGAGAAAGACAGCCAAGTTATTTCTTAGAAGCAGCAAGAAAGACACTTTCCCTTGAAAATGTGCAAGATACATCTCTTTTGGTAAACACACACACACACACACACACACACACACACACCACATACACACAGACAAAACAAACAAAAACAAACAAAAAAATCCTTTCATCTAGAATCTGTGATTTGCTTTCTTTTATTCCTTAGTATACATGAATAGTGAAAACGCACAATGCTCAGAAGTGCAGCCTCATTGAGTGATAATCTCTTATAATGTGCCTCTATTTAAAGCAACAAACAGATGGAGGGTTTATGAGCAAGGCTGGTAAAAGTAAAAGCAAATGGTTATAATAGTTGTACTTTTAATAGGATTCCCCACAATCTAAAACATTATTCCCCAAGGAACAAATTGTTCTATAAAATTATGTTACTTAGGAAAGAGACAGTCCGCCCTGACTTTGCTGAGGCAACAGAGGACGCCAGGATGGCCTTCTATTGCCGGGGGCTCTCAAGTCAGATCAGTGTCCTGGGAGGGAGGTCACAGGGACACCATGATCCCCAGAGAAAAGGCTCAGTGGAATAGGGTAAGAGGCAGAAAGAGCCAGGGGAGAAAGGGGTATGAAATATGTATGAGCTTTGATTGAATTTATTACTTTCTAATTCTCTACTTTGAATATCAAGGTTTGGGAAATTCCTATGGATTTATGATAAGCATGCAACACCACTTCCTCCTCTAATAATGCTGACCAACGTCTAGCTCTAGCACAGCCAATCTTGCTTAACAAAAGGTAGAATTGTAAACAACCCAACACTAATTACCATTATCCCTTTTTAAGAGAAACAAAACTCACTATAATTCTATCATTAAGATGAATATACTGTAGTTATGGCCTTTACGTAAATTATAATTAAAGCTAATCTTAATTAAAGTTATTACACCATTTTGGAAGAAAATAAACAACCCAAAGAGAGGGAAACAATGTGGTCAATAACTCACTCCAAAAATATTTTTTTTGCCTCCAAAGCTCGCATTGAGGGAGACATTCCTGTGTATGATACAAATGGTTCTGACATTAAGAAAAGTAAACAAGTAAGAAAAATAAAGATGGAGAAATTCTGTGGTCAGTTCACAAGTGCTTTTTTATTGTTTGAGGCAGGGTTAAAGCCTTTTATAAAGACAAGGATATATGTGCCGTTAGATTGGATATGACATTGGACTAGTCTAGCTGCCCTTGCACAGAACTCTGGCTGCCCATAATATGCCATGGACAAAACATATTTTGGTGCTTCTAAACAAAGAACTAGGGTGGGACCTAATGCAGCTAATTTAAATCATTATCCCAATGCTGTTTTGTAGATCAAATAGGTACTCAACTATGGTTATTGATGGATTTGAGAGAGAAAGGCAAACATTCAATATCCTCTATTAATGGTCTTGAGGATTTTGATCTAAATAGCTGATTACCAAAGTTTACATAATCTACAAGAGGGACTTCTGCCAGCCGCCATGCAAGTCATTCAAGGACTGTGTTGATTCAGGAGGCCCAAGGCCATGTAAATGGGCTAGAACTCAGACAGGAGGTTCTTCTTGGGTATTTCAGGGTTTCTGACTCCCCAAAGAGTTTTGCAACAGCAACACTCTAGTCATTTGGTACCTATAACTTGGAAGGATTATCTTTCAGTTTTTTTTTGTCCTCAAACTAACCTAATACTGGGAGATCCAGGACAATGGACACTGAACACCTGGTCTAAATAGAAGGAGCAAAAATCAGTACTATAGTGGGCTGCCATAAGCTACCGTAAGTGGCTGGCAGCCGGCGTGAGCAGCTGTCCAGTGGCCGGCGAGCGACTGCCTCACCCAGGAAGAGCACAATGATGGTGCCAACATGGGCCAGTGAAGCAATGTCCTCCACAACTAGACTGAAGAACAAAAGGAGAGCAACTT